CATGTCCAAATCAAGATAGGTGCATCGTCTAGTCGATGCTATAGTAGTAAATAGCCAAGGAAAAAAAATCTCATATCGGGATGTCGATATCGAGAACATAGCCATGCTATGAAAGCACGCTTATAAATCATATTTTTAACCGAAGTCGTCTTCATGCACAGTCTCTCCTATTGGAAGACAATTAGATGGTCAAACAAATTACTTTCCACATAGCCATTCATGTCAAATACGGTATCAAACAAGTTAAATACTATAAGTAGGAACCGGGTGTTAATCTAATCATGACATGTCAAGTGATTTCCATTATCACTCCCCGATAAGTCCCGCCTATCTAGGCCCTTGATGGTACAATATTCCGTAAAACTATGAACTCTCCAAACGTGATTTCATAACAAGTATAAATTTGAAATTTATGTGTCATATGGTCAATGTCACTAGATCATGCTACAGGGTTAAAGAATTTGGTCTCAGTTTCAATCAATATTCCTTGTAATGAAAATCATGAAAGGTTCCGCTTGTTTGCAAAGTTGCATCTCAAGTTTCAATTTTCTGTATATAAAAATGCGGGCAACGTGACAATTACCAAGAGGTGCCATCTCTAGCATGTGTAGTACTCCAAGTATCCAAGCAATAAAATTTTACCAGACCGGCTAAGTGGTTCCTAGAAACGTTCATATGAAACTATTAACTCAAGTAAATATTAAAATTCCAATCAACGAAAGTCGAACCCAAAATATAGCAATAATAGCATACACTCATATATGAACCATACTAACAGCAACTAACTATTAAAAAGGAAGGAATGAAAATATGCTAGCATGAATGTAAGAAAAAGAACTTATAAATTTAATTGAGGAAAAAAAAATGCTTGCATGATAATAATGAGGAACGAAATCAATAAAGAGCAAGACAAAAATGCTTGCCGTCGAGGGGTGATGGCGATGTTTGGGAACGGCGACAACGACGGTTGTCATCACGAGGGCTCAACGGGTTCGAGGGGGCTGTTGGCATAACATCGAACATATGGCGTGCGACGAAGGAAAGGCGTTGGTGGTTGCGGTTCGTAGTGAACTCGACGATGAGGCGGAAGGTTTGTTGCTGCGGGTGCTTCTCCAGGTGGTTGTCAGAGCTCGGCTAGACAACGGCGTCGAGGAGATCTGGTCGATGACAGGGAGGAGGTCAGGCGGTGGGCGAGGGGTTTTGTGCGGCAGTCAGGGGCGGCAGCAAGGGGAAGGCGACGAGGGTGCGGGCTGAGGTCGGAGGCGAGCTCGCGATAGCTGGAGGAGGTCGAGGGGGTTCGAGCGAACGAGGTGGCTCGGGGCTTGGCGGGTTTTGTGCGGCAGTCAGGGGCGGCAGCAAGGGGAAGGCGACGAGGGTGCGGGCTGAGGTCGGAGGCGAGCTCGCGATAGCTGGAGGAGGTCGAGGGGGTTCGAGCGAACGAGGTGGCTCGGGGCTTGGGTGTCGGGTGCGGTGAAGTCTGGTCGTGGTGATGGAGGGCGGCGAGGGTGTAGGCGGAACTGGAGGTCGACGGCGCTGCGGGGTTCCGACGAGGTGGGGCGAGCGGTGTTGGGGAAGAAGAAGGAGGCGGTTTAGATCTGGGAGTGGGTTTCTCTTGATGGGGGAGATAAGAGAGAGAGTACGGGTGGGGGAGAGAGAGGGTGGTTTAAATTATGTATATTTTGTTAGGGGGAGTACGGGAGAGATAGGATTTGTTGTGATTTAGAGAGAGAAAAGATTTGATTATGGGGAAGATTGAGAAAATATATGGAAAGAGAAGGTTTGAGTACGGGTGAGAGATAAGGTAAGTATCAACATGATTTTAGGGGTATATTTGATTGTTTGGTTTTAAAATTTGAAAATGAGAGAAAATGGAAGGAGAGAGATAAATGCACGTGATTGAGAAGAGAAAAGGTATAAAATAAACATGATTAAGGGGGTGATTGAGAAGTGATTAAGGCTGATTGGGAAAAAGAATTTGGAAGGAAATTCAAATGGGAGGAAATTAAGGGAGAGAATATTATGGGAAATATTTTGCATGATTTTTCAAAGTAAAACATTATATTAATAATTAAACATATAATAATATTAATAAATAATTAACAGCTAAATATTTATATATTTACATATGTGCTAATGTGCTAAACTCAAGTTTACATCAAATATAACAAGGTCATTAATAGTATTAGTCACCAATGATGAAAAAAAATCACTAAACCACAAATTAATATTTAGCAGAATTAATAATTACAAGACTATATATATATTTTATTTATTTATTTTAAAAACTCAGAAAATTCTAGAAATTAGGAGAAATATTAATAAAATATAATATAATATTTTAAATACTAAAAAATTTATTTAAATACATATCAAAATTTACGGTTGTTACAGTTTTATTACACAAGTTACTCTAGTTCCAGAAGCTTCTAAAAGACAATCTTGTGTACAGTGTCTACAAGCTACAAGAGGTCTGCTGTGCATATCATTCACTCAAGAAGATATGCAGATTAAACACAAGCATGATAGACCTCTGTACTATACGGGGTATATCAGCTCTTCTGAGATCTGCCGTGTATGGGTTGATCCGGGCTCAGCACTCAGCATCATGCCCTACAGGATCATGCAAGTCTTAGGGATTCCCCTGCATCGGTTGAACTTCACTTAGACTACTATCTTCGGCTTCAACACCAACAGCACACAACCCCTGGGTAAAATCAAGCTCAGATGTCAAATTGAAGATCTCAAGTCCGAAGTGACTTGTTACATCATAGAGGATGACCTTGCATTCATGCGAATCACATTGTCCCATTTACTCTTCATCAGGTCATGAAATATGCCGATGAGGAGGGAGAAGTTAGAACCCTGATCGCCGAGAAGCAACCTTTCAGAGGGGTGAAGAACTTCCACACCGATTTAGTCTTCTACTTGGATTCTCAAGAGCCAGAGCAGTCAAACGAGGCTACCGACAGTGGCAATGAAGCTGACATCGAACCCAATCCTGAGGAAGATTGTCCATGGGAATTAAATTTTGATGTAATGGGTTAGAATGAGAATAATAATAATATACAGAGTGAGGGTGAGTGGTACATTAATGAAGATTTTAATTTAGCGTACTTGTCTGATGTGTCCTCTGAATATGAACAAATAGAGACTGATACAGATAAAGATACTGATTCATGATGCACATTGTATGCTGAGGCATTACTCTCTTTGCCACTCAAATCATCCTTCCCCACATTCGAAGAGATAGAGGATATGCAGAAGGCTTTCTTCATGGTCCCATCTAAAAGAAAAAGACAAAAGCTGATCTACTTCGGTAAGGTCAAACCTGAATTACTCTAGCGAGAGAGTTCAAAGGAAGACGGTGGAGTTCCGCAATTCCATTATCATGAACCTAACTCCATTAAATTAATGAGAAGAATGGGTTATGACTTTAATAAACAGGAAGGTTTAAACTTCGGGAAAGGAAGACGAGCGCCAATTCAGCTTTCTACTCCAGAAGGAAAACCTCTTGAATATTACCAGAAGATTAGAAGAGGGTTAGATTACATCTCGACTCCTCCCCTTTTAGAAGATGAAGCCGACAATTATCTATGCCAAGACCATTCATCCGGATCATCGTGGGATCCGATGTGAGTGTTGGAACATTCTTAAAAGCATGTCCGTGAACATGGTTTCAGCTAGTCATCCGATCGGAAATGCAGAAGATGACCAAGAATTGATTGAATCAACCAACGATCCTTGGATAAATGCCTTAACATCTTGTGGGATATGCACTTTAAACAGCACAAGCTGCCCACCGAAGATGAGATGATCCAGGTCAACATGTGGGATGAATCCAATCCTAAGCCAATCTTCGTAAGTGATAGCTTATCACTATCTGAGAAAGAAGACCTCATATCTCTCATCAGAGAATATATAGATGTATTCGCTTGGAACTATGAGGACATGCCTAGCCTTGATCTAAAAGTAGCCATGTACTGTCTCAACATTAGTCCGGATGTGAAACCCGTCAAACAACAACAATATTGGTTACGTCCTAAGATCATAGAAGCAATTGAGTCAAAAGTCAAAAAGCTTATCAACTCAGGCTTTATTAGAGAGGAACATCACCCTGACTGGGTTGCTAACATCGTTCCCGTACCTAAGAAAAATGGCAAGGTCCTAATTTGCATCGACTTTTGTGACCAAAATGCTATATGTCCAAAGGATGAATTTTCACTCCCCATCACAGATGTCATGATCAACAATACTTGTGGGTATGAGAGAATGTCTTTTATGGACGGGTTTTTAGGATATAACCAGATTAAAATATACCCTTAAGATGAGAAGCACACCGCTTTTAGAACACCCCTGTGGGTGTATTGCTACACGGTGATGCCCTTCGGACTAAAGAACGCTGGTGCAACCTATCAGCTGTGATGAACGTGATCTTTTGAGAGTATCTACGTAAGAAGATTGAATGCTATGTGAAGAGCCAAAACAGAGGCGATCAACTTGCAGACCTGAAGACGATGTTCAACATTATGCGAGCACATCAAATAAAGATGAACCCGACCAAATTTTTCCTGGGGGTGTCTAGCGGTAAATTCCTAGGATTCATAGTCATATCTAAAGGAATTTCCCTCAATCTAGAAAAGGTTCATGCTATCTAATAAATGTCACCTCCGAGAAACATCAAAGAGCTCAGAGGCTTGCAACGCAGATTGGCGTACATCCAGAGATTTATATCAAACTTCTCAGGATGATGCCAGCCCTTCACTAAGTTGATGAAGAAAGGAGACTCATTCGTTTGGGATGAAGATTTCCAAAAGGTATTCGAGGAGATCAAGAGATACCTCACACAATCACTTGTTCTTGTAGCCCTGATATTAGAGAAACCATTCCTGTTATAAGTGAGAGCCATGGATCATTATCTTGGAGCTTTGTTAGCCTAGAACAAGGATCAGAACAAGGATCAAGGGCATGAGTAACCCATCTACTACCTCAGCAGAACTATGATGGAAGCTGATCACCGGTATAATCCGATGGAGAAAGAGTACCTTGCCTTAGTATCTACTATTCAGAAAATGCGACACTACTTAGTTGACCAAACAACGCATGTCATCTCTAAGGTAAATCCTTTGAGAGTGCTCATGACGAAACCATCCTCTCTGAATTATCATCGAGAAAAATGGGCGATCCTCCTATCATAGTATGACATACAATTTATGCCCCAGAAGGTTGTTAAAGGTCAGGCTCTCATAAATTTCTTAGCTGACCATCCGGTATCTGAATCGTCCAAATTATATGAAGATTTACCAGATGAGGTTGCCGAAGCTTCTATAACTCAAGAAGTTATACAAGTATGGAAATTATTCTTTGACAGAGCGTCTAGAGAAAACTTTAATGGAGGAATCATCGCTGTCGTGGAGGTGGTACTTGTATCCCTAGGTGGTCATGTAATCCCAAGAGGATTCTCTCTAATTGAGCCATGCACCAACAATGTAGCGGAGTACAACGCTTTGCTATTAGGGATGCAGTTGGCCAAGGAGCTTAATATTCGACATCTTAAGGCTTACGATGATTCTCAACTCATCGTAAATCAAGACTGAGGATAATATGAAGTGCACAATAAAGACTTGGTCCCATACCACTTCGTAATGTTAAAATTAGCCCGAAAATTTGAAGGCATCTTCATTGGTTACATTGCGAGAGTCTAGAACGCATATGCGGACGCTTTAACCTCATTGGCAACATCATTGGCGTTACCACCTAATGATGAAATGACTATATTCGTTGCGGGGCGTGATTTATATCACCCCAAACTTCCCACAGAAGAATGCTCAGATGAGACAACAGCAAAGGATGTCTGTGCAACCTCAATTGAGCTTGAACCTAGGGATTGGCGATTCCCGTATATTGACTACGTCTTATATAGAATTTTACCCGATAATTCCAAGGAATCAGCATCCATCAAACGGAAGGCTCTCCGATTCTATTACGATGCCTTGTACTACAAATCACATGATGGAGTCTTACTTTGTTGCCTCTCCAGAAAAGAAGCACAGGAGGCTCTCAGGGAAGCTCATGACGGGATGTGTGGAGCTCATCAACCCAAGCTAAGTTAGGAGACCATCTCCGAAGAATTGGCTATTATTGGCCAAAGATGTTTTCAGATGTTGTTGATTATGCTAAATATTGTCACGCATGCTAAATCCATGGTAACTTCATACATCAGACACTAGGGAACTTGCACCTAACATCGTCATCCTGGCCATTCGAGATGTGGGGAATGTATATTTTTTGACCCATCACTCCACCAACAGCTAAAGGACATCGGTTTATCTTGGCTGTAATGACCATGAATTTTTGATATTGGATTAAATAAATTTTTTGGTATTTTAAAATATTAAATTGTTATTTTCAAAAGAGTAATTATATTTTTCTGATTTTCTAGAATTTTCTATGATTTAAAAATCTAGTTTTATAATTATTTAATGATTTTGATAATTATAAATTAATTAATTATGGTAAAAAATTTTAAATTAATATTGTTGATTTTTGTTAATTTTATTGTTAATTATTTATAAGAATTTCCCCCCTAATTGTACTATTTTCCCCTATTTTATTTTCTTAATTATGTTAATCATTAACCCTAATCCTAATCATAACCCCATCCTATAAATACCCATACATAATCAAACCCTCTCCCTACCTCGTTTTTCACGCCGCAATCACCATCACATCTATCACTCACATACACCCTCATCTCCCTTCTCTCTCTCTCTCTCTTCTCTCTCTCTCTCTCTCTCTCTCTCACTCTCTACTCTTCCTCTCATTTTCTCTCTCCCCTCAAAAGAAAACCCATCAGATCCACCTCCTCCTCCTTCTCTCTCGTTCACGGAAACCCAACGCCCCACTCGCCCCCACTTTTGGTCGCCGCCGCCCTTGGCCTTCGCCCACCTGAGCCCTGCCCCCCGTCCATCTCATCCACGCCCTCAGCCAACCCAACCCCGTCAACTCGCCGTCCAGTAGCCCAGCCGCTCACTGCTGCCCCTCAGTCCGATGCCGCCAAGCTTCTCCCTACTCGCCGTGCCAACACCACCAGCCTCCCTGTTCGTCGCCGGCCCCCTCGCGCGCTCCCTCTCCCCTGCTCGCTGCCCAACTCCGCCGCTTGCACCCCGTGCCAACCGCAGCCAGCCTCCTTCCGCTCCGACCGTCCTCCATCTTGCCTCCACCTACCTCTGCGGCCCCTCCTCCGAAACCCCAGCGGCCCGCCGCCTTAGCCAGTGCCGGCGACCACCCTGACAGCCGTCCAAATCCGCAGTTCGACGCCACCTTAGCCCATCACCACCTCCTGCCGCGCGCAACCCTCCTTCGTCGACCCAACCCCCTTCAGTAGCCGCCATCGTCGAGCGTCGCCATCAGCCCCGAGCGCTGCCGAGCCGCTCGTTAGACAACTGCGCTCCCCACGTCAGATCTGATCTCGCACGTTAACGTCGACACGTTCGACGAGTACACCGAGGCAAGATCTCGCATTTACCTTGTTTTTAATTAATGGTTAATATCGTGTTATTATGATGATTAGATATAGATAAATTATTTTGTGGTAATATTATTGTTAGTATGATGATTACATATAGTTATATTATTATTATGGTTAATACGTTTTTTTGAATATTTGCGTGGAATGATGATTGCGAGCGTATGGTGAAAATTAGATGAATAATATTGTTAATCGTATTTTTTAAGAAATTTTGGACATGAAATGACAAGTCATGTGTTAAAATTAGAATTTGTGAAATTTTATCAAAAATAAATTAATTAAGGGAAATTTATAAAATAGAAAAAGATTATTTTTCATGCTGGAAGGAATTATTATATTATATAAATATTTTTCTTTTAAATTAGTTATAACGAGAAATAGTTTTAAAGAATATTTTTTTGGGGAAAAGAATATTATTATTTATGATAGTATGACTGATCGTCATAGAGCGCGACATTTCATGAGCAAAACATCGGTTTCTAGTTTTCTTTTTACCATATTATTATATTAAAGAATACGTAAGTACGGATAATTTGTATGAGAAGTTCAGACATCCCAGTAGTAAGATGATAATGAAGCCCACTCATGTATTACATTCATGCTATAGTATTTTGTTTATGTATTTCATGTTCATTATAGTTCCCAATTCTGCTTTATAATCTTGTGTAATCATGTTTAACATGCCTTACTATATTCATGATCTGTTGACGTGTTGAGAATCTTAGTAGTTCATGATTTAGTATCCTTGTGCGTCATGAACAGACTTAGTGACATGTGTGAGTGTGTTGACTGGTTAGGCGGTAAACCCGAATTTTCAATGAGATTATGGTTAACTTAAAAAAACGAGAAGAGTTGGGATGGGGAAGTCAGTGTTCATGTGATCGGATAAGACTGTTGATATATCTTCCAGGCTCGCGCCAGTGAATTCGTGTAGTCACTGGGGTTGGTTTGTTGGGCTAAAGTAAATTCGTATAGTCACTTTAGTCAGTGAATTTGTGTAGTCCCCGAGTTCTGCTTGAGTTCAGACCAGGCCGAAATCGGATTGCGTGTAGTCCTCTGACTGATTCGTGTAGCGGTATTGGATGCACATAGGTGATTTGTGAACAGCCAGTTATCCGATGACAGGAGCGTTGACTCTGTGTGAGATGTGGACCGTTGAGCCTTGATTTGTGAACAGCCAGTTATCCGATGACAGGAGCGTTGACTCTGTGTGAGATGTGGACCGTTGAGCCTTAGGTTGGTTAGTATTTGACCCAGTTATTGAGGAGCGTTGACTCTGTGTGAGATGTGGACCGTTGAGCCTTAGGTTGGTTAGTATTTGACCCAGTTATTATATTCACATAGCTGTATGTTACCATTAGATTTCCAATTGCATGTATCATTGTCTTTTATATTAGTATTATTACTATCATAGCATGGGTCATACGACCGTTTTGTTCATGTGAGATCTTGCCGTGTGCCATGCACGCTGACGTGCACCTGTTTTTCCCTGGTGTGCATCAGACTTAGGAGACGAACAGATTTAGTTCGATTATGCACCCGAGCCAGTGTATGCCCAGCCGGAATGTCCTTCCGATGGAGTGGAAGAACAAACTAAAGCCTAGACGTGTTTTTCTTTTCTGTAGTAGCTGATAAACATTAGAACTCTTTATAGTATTGTCCTTAGTTTGATGATGGATTTAGTTATTTTATTAATATTTTTCTTTTATCATAGACTATGTGTTTTTATTCCTAGTTGGACCATTTTTTGTAATAAGGGTATGTTTGACCCATATTTTTATGTCTGGGATGATTAACTATGGATGATATGTTTATTTCTTATTCTTGATTATCTTTATATTCTTGCTATTGTGATCGGGGACCTGTGATTGAGATTTACGTATTTGACGCTTAGCGTATTAGATTGAGAAGAAAAAAATATAATAATAATAATAGTGTATATTTCTTCTCAATCTAATACGTCGCAGACTTGTTCACGTTCCGATTCCCGAGTATTTTAGGAAGCAGGGCGTAATAGGTTTTAGTGGTGGCCCATGCAGGTCCCGGTCCCGAGTCCTCACTAGTAAGAATATAGTAGACAATTTAAATACATATCATATTTCATCTGCAAGACTACAATTAAGTTCTTATACTATTATCTTAAAAACTATGTTTTAGCTCCTATTTTCTAATATATTGTTTTGATTTTAACCCTAATTCTTTGATCCTCGTTTTCCTTCAGAACCATGGTGGGTACTCGCGGTTTTAGTAACCCTTCTAGTAGCAGTGCCCCACAGCCCGAAGTGGATCCAAACCAACTTCTGGTGATGATTCAGGGATTGGTCACCAATCAGCAGCACTTGGCTGGACAGCTGCACAGGGAGCCTCAGCACCAGCCTCCCCCCTCGCGCAGAGTCTGGAGTTAGAGAGTTTCGATATATGCAGCCTCCTTCATTTTCTAGTGCCGAGGGACCATTAGCAGCAGAGAAGTTCCTCAAGGTCACTGAGACTATTCTAATGGTGACCCGCATTGCCTATGCTGAGTGGGTGGACCTCATGGATATTCAGCTCACCGATACCGCTCGGATATGGTGGCAGCTGAGAAGACTCATCTAGAGAGGCCCATCCTGTAGGAGACATTCACCGAGCGCTTCAACAGGAAATATTTTCCTCAGTCAGCTCGGGATGAACTCCTACGAAGATTTGTTGAGCTCAAGCAAGGAGGGCGAATAGTTGATGAGTACGAGGCTGAGTTTTCTTCTTTGAGCCGATATGCTCCCCACTTGGTTACAGACCCTACGATTAGGAGGCATCAGTTTTAGAAGGGTCTGGAAAAGTACATTAGGATGGCTCTGGCAGGCAGAGCTTTGGCGACCTATGATGCAGTACTAGATGCAGCACGCGAGATTGAGAGCGTGTATAAGGAACCTGAAGACTCTCACGTGATTCAGAGCAGGACACCAGCAGCTCCGGCCCAGAATGTCGAGCGTCCCCCTCCGAGACAATAGTAGCAGAACCGGCAGAGGCATCAGCATTCTCAACGTCAACCATTTCATCATGCTCACCCTTATCAGCGTCCTGGAGTGCAGTCTCAGAGCCAGTCTTCGGTGAGGTGTTTCTATTGTAGCTACCCTGGTCATACTCAACAGGATTGCCCCAGGCATCTTCATCTATGCTTCAGCTGTGGGTCCCCCGGTCATATCAGTCGAGACTGTCCTCAGAAACAGCAGGCTCGTTTGCCCCCAACTCCAGTTTGAATAGCTCTTCCAGCTCTACCTCGACCAGCCCCGGCAGCACCGCCTCAGCATAGATCTTATCCTCGAGCAGGGCCACTTCCCCCACAGCAACAGGTATATCAGGAGGCACACAGACAATAACCTTGGCGACAGATGTTTATGATGTCAGCCATAGAAGCTGAGGTGAACGACCAGGTTATCACTGGTAAGAATTGTTTATCTTAGTCTTATTTGCATATGAACTTCCTTATTTAGCATTACATAATGATATCAAGATAGGATTGTTTACGAATACTAAGTTAGTTGTATTTACATCCTCCTATAATAGGCAAGCTTCTTGTTTCTTCCGTTCCTGCTTTATCACTCTTTAATTCTAGAGTTTCCCATTGTTTCTTGTCTCGTCGATTTGCGAGTGCCCACTCTCTTCCTATAGCTTCTCTGACTACGGGCTGGAATATCAACACTGGTAGTGGCGTCTTAGTACCATCCACTGGTTATGAAGTATGCCCTGTAGTTATTTGTGGGAGAGAACTCTTTGCAGACTTTCTGGTAATTGATTTACCGAGTTTTGATGCAGTATTTGGAATGGATTGGTTAGGGTCGTTCTTTGCCACCATTGATTGTTTCCATCAGAGCATAGTATTCGAGATATCGGACCACCCGAGATTTGAGTTCCTTAGTGGTAGTACATCAGCCGGACCTGTGGAGTACAGAGCTAGACCGAAGAAGGCGACTTTAGCTGCAATGCAAGTGGAATCCGAGAAGCCAGATGTAGTTCGAGAATTTGAAGATGTGTTTCCCGACGATATTTATGGATTGCCACTGGATCGAGAGATTGAGTATAGATTTGAAGCCTTGAGTTGCGCCGATCTCCAAGACCCCTTATCGTATGCCTCCGGCAGAGTTGGCCGAGCTTCGGACCCAGTTAGATGATCTTTTGCGAAGAGGGTTGATACGACCCAGTGTATCAGCCTAGGGAGTGTTGGCCTTCTTGTTTTGATGATGATTTATAAACAATTTACTACTAATATTGTTTGTCTAGTGTTTGTGCATTCCTATGTATTGTAGACAAACAACGTTGTTGGAGGATGGATGGAATAGAGCTTCAACGATCATATCCAAAGGAGGTTGGCAGAATGTCGGTGAAGCTTATGTAATTCAAGTTAAAGATCGAGTTCAAGCTTCATCCACAAATATATCAAGTCAAGCCTATTAAAGATCAAGATCAAGCTTTGGTATATTTAGTTTAGGTTTTATATTATGTGTGTTAGATACTCTAAGCTCAATATCATATACACACACGTATTTGGTTTCTAAGCTCAAATATTGTATTCTCAGTTTATAGACTTAACAATCATCATATACATATTTTATCAAGTCTATATAATCATTGTGCAAAGTTTCAAAACATTGTTTATGTCAAAACATCAAACTTCATGTATATCACTTTTTTCATGTTTTGAACACTTTTGCAAAATAATAAGATTTCACAATTGGGAAATACAAATTGGAAAATTCTTTTTGTAACATGTTCAAAATATCATTTGCAAACATTTCTCAAAGTTTCATCAAGTTTGAAATTGATTTGTTATGTTTAAAGGAATTTACAAATTCACGTTTTCGTTCGTGCACATGTTCGTGCATGTTTTACAAAACTGATGAGTTTTCGCAAATGGGAAGTGATATTTGAAAAATTCTTTCTCTGACATGTTTATCTACATGTTTAGAAATTTTTCTCCAGTTTTTACTATTTTTGGAGTTGATTTACTATGCCAATTAATTTTACAAAATCGTATATGTTAACAGTTTTTCAGAAACTGTAAATTTGTGTTCAAATATTTATTTATCTCAACTGGGAAAATATTTTTCATAAATTCTTTCTCTGACATGTTATTCTACATGTCTAGAATATTTTCACAAAATTTCATAATTTTTTGAGTTCATTTACTATTTTAAATTGATTTTACAAAACAGCTGCTGCTACAGTAACTCCGGTCGACCGGAAATGTCTCTGGACGTTACTCAGCTTTGCATATGGCTCTCGGTCGACCATACCGGTCGACCGAAGTTACTGTAGCATCCAACCGATATACAGTAATGGTTAGTTACTGTTTTTTGTTTTTTAATGGTTTTTTGGGGTTTTTGGGGTTGGTTTCTTCAAGCCTATGTATAAATAACTATTTTCTATCATCAAAGAGAGTTTTAAAACAAGTTTAAGAAAGTTTTAATCAAGGGTTTAAGTTTGCTTTTAGTGTTTTTTTAAAAAGCTTTTAAGCATTTACAAGAGTTTGAGTTTGTGAATTCAAATTTCACAAGAGCAAGTGGAGATCATCCTTTTGGTGTTTGAGCATTCACTCTTCTCCTACTCTCTTGTCATCTTTAGAGAAGTGTTTCTAAACTCATCTAGCAATTTATTATTTTGATTATAATTTCCATAAGCTAGATTTATTGTGAGGTGTAAACGTTGTTCGGGTGAACGTAGAAAACCCGGTTGTGATAGTGGAGATCTCCTCGAGGTGAGGAGCGGAGACGTAGGTCGTGGGGACCGAACTCCGTAATCATATTGTTTGTTTGTGATTGCATTGGCGCACTTACTCTTATGTTTATATCTTTTATCGCCTTTGTATATTGCTTATTGATTATATTGCCCACTATCTAGTTTAGATTATTTACCCTTGTGTTGTTTATATATCCTTGCATATATTTCTATCATATAGGATATATCTCATTGTTCATGTTGCTTATCCTAGCTTATATTCTTGTTGTATTTCATACTTGCTAGGATAACTTGATAATTAATTTTAATTGGCATATAATCGGATTAGATTAGCATAAGACCCTAATCACCCCCCCTCTAGGGTCTAACAGGGAGCACCTATTTTGCTTGTGGGGAAGAAGGATGGATCCAAACGGATGTGCATCGACTACCGGGAGTTGAATGCGGTGGCAGTGAAGAATAAGTATCCACTTCCCCGTATTGATGATATCTTCGATCAATTGGGAGGATCGAGAGTATTTTCTAAGCTGGATTTGCGAAGCGGGTATCACCAGGTGAAGGTTAAGGATTCTGATGTCCCCAAGACTGCGTTCCGAATGAGATATGGACATTATAAATTCTTAGTGATGCCGTTTGGTGTGACTAATGCATCGGCGACATTCATGAACCTAATGAATCTGGTATTCTATGATGTGCTGGACAAGTTTGTAGAAGTTTTTATTGATGATATCTTGGTGTATTCTAAGAGTGAGGAGGAGCATGCTGAGCATTTGCGGTACGTGTTGAAGACCTTAAGAGAGCATCGGTTATTTGCCAAGTACAGTAAGTGTCAGTTCTGTCTAGATCGTATAGCGCTTCTGGGACACGTGGTGTCAGGAGACGGCCTATCAGTGGATCCGGAGAAGGTATCTGTAGTGAAGGATTGGCCTACCCCTAAGTCAGTGTCTAACATTAAGAGCTTCCTGGGATTAGCTGGATACTACCGTTGCTTTATTAGAGATTTTTCAAAGATTGCAGAGCCGATGACATGACTTACGAGGAAGGATATTAAGTTTGTCTGGTCCGACGCTTGTGAGCAGGCATTTGAGGAGTTAAAGTCTCGACTGATATCGGCCCCGATCTTGATGATACCAGATAAAAGTGGGAACTTTGAAGTGTTTTGTAACGAATCAGGTAGAGTAGCAGGATGGTCATGTGGTAGCATATGCTTCTTGTCAGTTGAAGAAGCATGAGCAGAATTATCCTACCTATGACTTGGAATTGGCAGCTGTGATTTTTTCCCTTAAGCTTTGGAGGCATTATCTGTTAGGAGAGAAAGTGAAGGTGTTCACTGACCATAAGAGCTTGAAGTGCATATTTACTCAGAAGGAGCTCAACATGAGGCAACGCCGATGGTTAGAGCTTATAGCGGATTACGACATTGATCTTCAGTATTACCCTGGCAAGGTCAATATGGTACCAGATGCTTTGAGTTGTTTGCCAACAATCATGACCCTCACAGCTCAGTGGAGACTTCAGCAGGAAGTGAGGGATATGAGTATAAAAGTTCTTCTTCCAGGAGTCACCGCTTCTTTGATGAATCTTCAAATTCAATCGACACTGGTCGAGTGAATCAAGGTAGCTCAAGCAGGTGACCCATTTCTTCAGAAGTGCAGAGAGTTAGCAGTGGCTGGTCTTCGACCGGAATTTATTGTTCATGAGGATGAATCCTTACGATTTGGGAGTCGTATCTGCGTACCAGGAGGAGATATTCGAGAGGAGATATTGTAGGAAGCTTATAGTTCACCATATTCTATTCACCCTGGAGATACGAAGATGTATAAGGATCTGAAGCTAAATTTTTGGTGGCATGGTATGAAGAGAGATATGGCTCGTAGTGTGGCTAAGTGCCTTGTATGTCAGCAGGTGAGGGCAGAGCATCAGCGCATCATAGGTCTTTTGCAGCCATTTCCTATTCCGGAATGGAAGTGGCAGCATGTCACCATGGACTTCGTTACTAGCTTACCTCGGAGGACTAGACAAAATGACGTTGTTTGGGTGATCGTAGATCGATTAACCAAATCGGCTCACTTTATTCCTTTCCGAGTTGGACAGTCGATGGAGCATCTTGCTCAGAGATACATGGAGGTAAATATTTATCTCTATAAATTTCAATGAGTTCCTTTCCAAGAGTGTTAGTAAATCTCTCGTATTGCAGGAGATCGTGCGATTGCAAGGAGTTCTAGTGTGCATCATTTCGGATCGCGATACCCGATTTACTTCAGAGTTCTGGAAGAGTTTGCAGGCGAGTCTGGGGACCAGTCTCAGTTTCAGTACAGCTTATCATCCCCAGACCGAAGGGCAGTCAGAGAGGACCATTCAGATTTTGGAGGATATGCTTAGAACTTGTATGCTTGACTTCCAAGGTTCGTGGGAAGATCACTTGCATTTGGTGGAGTTTGCATACAATAATAGCTTCCAGGCAATCATTAGGATGGCCCCTTTTGCAGCATTGTATGGGAAGAAGTGCCGCTCCCCTTTGACAAAAGAAGGCCTGTACGAGTCGTTAGTCATGCCTTTTGATCTTTCTAATGCCCCTAGCACTTTCATGTGATTGATGAATCAGGTATTAAAACCCTTTATCGGCAAGTTCGTCGTAGTTTACTTTGATGATATCCTGATTTATAGCCAGAGTGGGGCTGCACATCTGGACTGCTTGAGGGAGGTACTAACAGTTTTGCAGGAGAACAAGTTGTACATCAATCTGAAGAAGTGCAACTTCATGACCAGTAGCCTTGTGTTTCTAGGCTTTGTTGTTAGTGCAGAGGGTATTCATGTAGATGAAGAGAAAGTTCGTGCTATTAGAGATTGTCCTACCCCCAAGACTGTCAGCAAAGTTCGTAGTTTTCATGGCCTAGCAACATTCTATAGGAGATTTGTAAGAAATTTTAGCAGCATTGTAGCACCTATAACTGAATGCATGAAGAAAGGGAAATTCAATTGGGGGGAAGATGCAGATCGTATGCACTGATCAAGGAGAAGTTGTCCACCGCACCTGTGCTTGCACTTCCAGATTTTCAAAAAGTCTTTGAAGTTGATTGTGATGCGTCCATCATAGGAATTGGTGGTGTTTTATCTCAGGAAGGGCGTCCAGTTGCCTTTTACAGTGAGAAACTCAACGAAGCTCGGCAGAAGTGGACCACATATGAGCTGGAGTTATATGCTATAGTTCAGTCTTTGAAGCATTGGGTGATGAACGTCCGCTGCGCTGTTTGACAAGAGTCGTATCTTTTTTATTTTCATTGTATAAGGAGATCTTATAAAAAGATCAATTTTTTATTTGAGTTTATTGTAAACGATTAAAGTTGTAATAAATTCAATCACAATGAAAACAATAATTTTTGACCCAAACAAGCTGGTGACCACAGTGGGAGCCAACAGTTTCGCTGCTGAAGCTATCGTGCCACAACCGCGGATCTGGATTCTGATTTATGAAGAGGTCGAGTACGAGTTCAACCAACTAAAATTTGAGGAGTATTTGTCGTCCTCCTCCTCCAGATCCTCCGCCCCTCGCAAGCACAGGAAGATCAAGGCCCCCGTTGCCGCTGCAACCCCGTCTTGCAATGCCCCTCCGGCCTCCAACGAGACCGGATCTATAGATTTGGACCTTTCCTCCACCAAGGAGTCGATTGCTGAAAGCGCCCCAACCCTATCAAAGAGGGTACGCCAAAGACAGCGCCAACGACTTGCGCGTCGACTTGGTAAGGCTTTGGAGCCGTTTGACGGGATCGGCTATGAGGCAGATCTGAAACACAGAAGGCATCGAGTGGCCAAACAGCAAATGAATGGCATATCCTCCAAGCTAACAGCGAATGAATGGATCCAAGTCAAACGGACCCGCTCAACCCACGAGGAGCGCATTCAGAAGTGTCGTGCCTTGATTGCGCACGCACGGATCCTCATGCAGGAAGCGCAAAAGTTAAAACAAGAAGAGGTGACCAAGAATCCACCAAAACCATGCCAAGTATGGAGACTAAAATCCGAAATGGTGCCGTCAAAAAATCAACACCGCCCAAAAATCGCGAAACAGCCCTGGCTGGCTCGGCCAAAACCGAGCCACCAAATGGTGGCTCAGCTGGTGGGTTGGCGTCTGAACCGAACCAGTCTGGTTCGCTTTGTGTCTGGTTCACCTCCCGTGGTCTGTTTTGAGTCTCCGACAGCTCCTATTCCTGTCCCGATGAATTCCGCACTTCCGGTAGAGCCCCACGATAGTGTGGACTTATCCCGATTCAAGATGAGGATGGCGGATTGCCTGGGTCCTTTGCACGAGGATTGAGGAAAATTTCCGATCGAAGAACGCTTGGGTCCTGTGACTGATCCCCGAGCGACTCGTCGAGCTGGGGGTCGTACACACCCTCACAACAATTTCAAGCCTTCTCATAAAGGGAAAACTTTGGTTTCCACCTGCCTGGGGATGTGTATCCAAGACCAGGAGCCCGTTAAGATCCAGCGCTCCCAAAACGTGGTTCCAAACGTGTGACTCTTGAGAACGATTATAAGACAACAAATCCCCTGAAAGAAACGTATTCATCTGATGATGACAACGTTATACCCAGGGAGTCATGCCAACACACGATAGGTTGTTCTGATCATCTGACTAATGAGTTGTACTATCGAGTTGGGAGTACGAATAGATCTCGAAAAAGAGATACCCAGGAAACGGGCGTTCATTGTCCGTGTGCCAATATTATTAGGGCAATATTATCAGCGTGTAGCTGCCCCAAGATCGCTCCGCAGAGGGTTTCGGTAGGTGAGAGGATCTCTAACGGAACAACCGAGTCCCAACCGAGGCGTTTCCGTAAGAAACGATTGGCTGTTCGAGATGACGAACTCTCAGAAGTTACCATCAATATGGTCGATAAGGGAAAGTCCCCGATAGTTCCAAGTGGTTCTAACCCTAACTTTTCTCCAGGAAGAAGAGTTAATTCGAGAATAGATCGACTGATGTCTCGACTCTAGCTGGAAGCGGTCTGACCTGAACAATCCGTAGCCATAGTTAATATGGCTGATAGAGGAAAGTCAATTCAACCCTCTAGTTCTGACCCTCTCATATCGTATCGTCTAACCCGTTTACGATCGGGAACCGTTAGACAAAGAGACTATCAAAGGATGAATCGAGGATTATCCTCGGAAGACGAAACGTCAGATGCCAACTCTGCAGTCGCTTCTAACAATACGGTATCCAGCCCTGGTCAATCCCGCGAAGCATTCACGATCAATACTGAGCAAATAACCAAAATCATCGAGGATTCTTTGACTAAGCAAAAAGAGAACTTCAAGTTCGAATTAGAAATGACCATGATGTGGATGAAGGAAGAGCACGACCAACAAATTCGAGCCTTGTCAAATCAGATAGGTGAATCCAGTCGTCGTAACAATGTCAACCAAGCAGAAAGTGATTCAGACATGGATGAATACGTTAATGATAATAACCCTATTGTTGACCAAAATGCTGAGGGTGGTCCCACGGAAGATAATAACACCGGGGGTGGTCCTACCAATGATGATAACTCTGGGGATGACCATGTTGTTCCTCTCAAGAATCGTCTTAGGCCCGATACGAGCAAGGATAAGAAAATAAAAGATCTCGAGAGCAAAATCAATGCTCTAATGTCTGCTCGAGCGGTAAAAAAAACTGGCATTCCATGTCTCTATCCAAGAGAATGGGATTCAATAGCATACCCGACGAAGTTCAACTTGATTAACTTCACGTCGTTTAACGGGAGGGGTTCGCCCACTCAACATCTAATCTACTTTAAGTCCCACTTGGGTATGATCTCCATCAATGAAGCCTTGATGGATCGGTCATTCGTTGGCACCCTTCGTGGGCCCGCCTTCGATTGGTACCGCCGTCTCAAGTCCACAAGCATCAATAGCTAGGACGACCTAGAGAATCTCTTCCTCGCTAACTTCTTTGATGATGATGTCGAGGTGTCAATCAGAACACTCTTCGATGAGAAACAAGAAGACAACGAGACAGTCGACGACTTCGTCAAACGCTTCCAGAATAAGACGATGAACTATCGAGATTCGATCACGGAGGAATTCATCCTCCAAACCTGTCACAACAACCTCTCTTTGGACGTGTTGGAGGTTATGGGAATAGCATAGTCCAACACCTGAAAAGAGTTGAAGATGCACGGAGAGCGAGACGAACGCTTCCTCCGAAGGAAGAAGGCCGAGAGGAGCCAACCAACGGCTAATCCTCCGAACTCGAACTTCACCTCTCGTGGTAAGAGCAAAGCACCTGCAGCAGTTGTTGATGTTAATCAGACATCGCAACAACAACTCCGAAGATAGCAAAATACTTCGGATCCGAGACTCCAAAAAGAGTACTCTTTCAAGGATGAAGATGTTCCAGCCATTTTCGAGTCCCTTCTTGAAAATAACAAGATCAAGCTATCACCTATCGTAGATCAGGAGGAAGCTGATAATGGTGCGGATCCGAAATACTATACGTACCATAGGAGGATCCTTCATCCTACCAAGGCTTGCTTTGCTCTCAAGAATAGCATCCAAACCTTGGTTGAAACCGGCGTCATAACGCTCAATTAAGTCGAATGAATACTCCAACAAGTATAAGAGTATAAACTGCTCCTTCCGATACTCTAATAGGTATATGAGTCTAAACTATTTCCTACCATTGACGGGAAGTTCCTGGAGAATTTTTATATGTAATATTCTTAAGGATAACCCAGTCATGTAGCTGAGTATAATGTCAGACTCAGTTCCGCAAAGAAAGCTGGGGGTGGATGATTCATATAACGGGAAGTTCCCGGAAGAATGCTACATGTAACTTTCTTAGAGATAACCCGATCATTACAAATAAAATGATAAAAAAACTAAATCCTCACTGTTATTTCCGAACACTCCTTTGCTGAGACGAGATTCGATCACTTCGTTAGATCAATCTTCCCTCATAAAACTCTAATTGGTGTTTGACGATTCACAGTCTTCCACCACAAAAACCCCCCATCGATTAGACTAATTAACGGTGGGACCACCAAAATTTCTTTCGGTTGAATCCACTCAAACTCTTGCTACTTCTATGCACTCAATCCTTCCATTGTTTGAGTCCGGACAGAGTACTCGGAATTTTAATATTATGATCTTTGACAATTGTTAAATCCCTTTATGTTAAGTATTTGTCACTTAACACCAGGAACCCCCTTTGAGTGATTTGTATGAATCAACACTCCCATTGTGATTTGCACTCCCACTCTAACTTGGTCAAACCTTTAAACAGTTAGGACCACAACCAAAACCCCCTCTCGATTCCTTCCATGAACAAGAGGTCTACAAATTGAACGATCAAACCTTTAAACAGTTAGGATCGTCTCAAATTTCCATCTTGGTCAAACCTTTAAACAGTTAGGACCACAACCAAAATCCCCTCTCGATTCCTTCCATGAACGAGAGATCCACAAATTGAACGATCAAACCTTTAAACAGTTAGGATCGTCTCAAATTTCCATCTTGGTCAAACCTTTAAACAGTTATGACCACAACCAAAATCCCCTCTCGATTCCTTCCATGAACGAGAGGTCCACAAATTGAATGACCAAACATTTAAACAGTTAGGATCGTCTCAAATTTCCATCTTAGTCAAACCTTTAAACAGTTAGGACCAAGATCGGAATATCCTTTTGATAAACGAAAAACTTTCACATTTTCCTATTTGGCCAAACATATAAAAGTTAGGGCCGAAATCGGAATTTCAACTCAATAAATGAGGAATTTTTTTCTTGGATTAAGCAACCAATCCTATAAAAGTTAGGGTTGCTTGAATCTTTCCGATTCTCGGAGTGGAGATCTCACTCCTAGTTTCACTTTTCTAGATTCTTAGGATGGAGATCCCACTTCGAGTTTTCTTGGCAACTGGAGATAGAATATAAAATTTTTCCTCTTCGGTTTTGGGAGATAGAATATAAAATTCTTCCTCTCCTATTTTGGGTTCGTCTTTGCCCCAAGAGAAGACACCATATTTTCAACTTCAAAATCCGCGCCTTACACGTGCGGAGAATTTTATTTCAAATCCTAAGTAGGGATAAGTCAGCGTCTAACACGTATTGCCGGTTAGTCTTTTGCCGTAAAAGGGATAAAAACCCACATATTCAATATTATGGCAGGTTGTTATTCATAACGCCAAAATCCGTACCTTACACGCGCGGGGAATTTTATCTCGAACC